CTCCCCTCTCCTCCCCTCCTCTCCTCTCCTCTCCTCTCTTTGCTCCTGTTGGCACTAGAAATGAATTGGAGGCAGTGGGATCACAGCTGAGGATCCCTCTCCCCTCCCCTGGAGCCCCTCCCCACCCCTCCCTTCTCTTTTCTTCTCTGTTGGCCCTGAAAATGTTGACGTGGTGACTTTTCTGTGACTTCACAGGAAGTAGCATCAAGAGGGTCTGGTCTGGTGATGAGGACAGTGCTGTGTTTTGTTCACTGAAGTCCCCAGGGCTTTTAGCAAATAGGACACCATCACATGACCATAGGCCTGGAGGAAACAGGTGAGTAGTTGCCTCTCACCTCTGACCCCAGGAGAGGTCCTGTCATGTGTCACAGGCCACCGGAGGTTCCCGCGGCCATCTTTCCACAGCATACTCTCCGCGTGACTCTGGACTCCAGACCCGTCCCGCTGGGCTTCCTGTAACCTTTAAGCTTTTCCCTGAGGGAACAATCATACTCCCTAGATCTCTCATCTGAAGGCTGCGGGACTTAGTCCTCTAGGTCTTTGTTACCTTTAACCTAAACTCCTTTTGCTATAAATGATGAAAGGTTAGGTAAGGTCTAGAGATAGCCAATGCCGGCAAAAACAACCTGTGGAGTCCATCAGGATACACAGCACCAATCCTAAAAACAAAAGCAAGCAGTCAGCCCAGACTCCCTCTCAGATAAGCACAGAGGAGGAGGCTTGGCGATGTGCAGGGAACTGGACTCTGCAAAATCCCAGGCCTGGGAGCAGTCTGTGCTCCTTCTCCTTTTAAGGCAAGGTCTGAGCTGCTAGGGCTGCACTTGCTCCGACACGCCACAGCCCCATTCATTCCTGGCTATTTGGAGGAAAGCAGTGATTAATCAACGTTTCCCCACCCCCACCCCCTGCCTGTTTTACATTTGGTTCTTTTTAAAGTGTTGGCACACCTCTTGTTAGATCCTAGTCAACCTAGACCCCAGCTCGGCGATATAACTGGAGGACTGGCAGCTGGTGCCGGATGAGGTCAAAGGGGAGAAGGTCGGGTTGTGAGGTCTGGGAAGAGAAAAGGTTAAAAACGTAGTGATAAAGTTTTGGTTGGGAGTTCTGAGTTGGAGCCTGGGACTGTAGGGGTGGGAGGTGGGGGTGATGGGTGAGGCTCTGTGGGTGGTGTGGCACTTGGGCCAGAAGCCCTGACCCTAATGGGAAAGGCTAGATGCTGTTGCAGTGACCAGATGGTTACAAATGAGGCAGTTGGGCCTGAGCCCGTTTTACCTTAGCCTGCCCAGTGCGGTTCGTCGTCACCTCTGTGGATCTCAGCCTCCTTCAAGCCAAACCTGAGAGCCAAGCGGTTTGGGCATTCTGGAGGGGTGGCTGAGCAGTGTGCAGTGGATGCACATCTGGGGAGCAGAGGAAGGAAGGAAGGAAGGAAGGAAGGAAGGAAGGAAGGAAGGAAGGAAGG